ACAGCAAACCATCCGGGCGTGGATGGCGCGGAGGGGGCACGTTGACCCGGCGCTGGCTTTCCCACGGGGACGCAAGGCGAGCGCGGGGGGGGAGCGGAACCACCCGGGCATGCATGGCGAGGAAGTGGCGCGCCGTCGGACGCCAGAAACCACCGGGGATGTGGCGGGCCAAACGCCGGGGTAGCAGGGGCAGGCTGTGCCACCAGCTACGGAAAAACAAGCGAAGAGCAACGCCAGGTGTAGGGCGGAAACCACGCGGCCACAATGGCGCGAGGGCGACGCAGGGCACCAGGAACGCGGGGAAGGTGCCGATGGAGAAGACGAGGCAAGTGTACACGACGCCGGCGAAAGATGCGCCGAGCTCCACATTTACCCAGGAAGGCGGTCACGAAGGCGGGAAACCAAATACCCCAGGCTGTTGGGGATACTTTCTGATCAACAGGCTCGCGAGGCGGGTCGAAAGCCGTCCGAACACTAGTCGGGCCGCGACTAGGCAGCAGGAAAAGAAAAGCAAGCGAAGCGAGCGAGCGGGCAGCCACTCAGAAAGAGAGCCAGAACCGATACTCCCAAACCCGGTGGCTTAGGAAATCCCGGTGGCGACCGGCAAGTAAGCGCAGCCAAAATGGCGCGGCGGCGCGACCATAAACACGCAGAGGTCGATCGCTCGGTGTGAGTCAGACAAACAGCACCGTCGGAGACGAACTAGACCGACAGGCACACCCAGACGACATCCGTGAAGTAGGCAGCTGTTGGGGATACTTGTTTGATTTGCGGCCCGCAAGGAGAAGTCCAGAAGGCGTGTCACACTGTTGGGGATACGCGAAGCGTCTAGAATTACCTTTCGGTGGCTGCATCGAGACTATGAGCGCGGTGGCAAACACGTGCGGCAGCAGCGCAGCTACACGCAGCTGCCTCTGGTGCACATCTCCATGGGCAGAGGGACTTCGTCACGTGATGCAAAGGCCCCCTTGTCCTGCTCCTCCTCCTCCTCCTCCTCCTCCTCCTCCTCCTCCTCCTCTCCTCTTCCTCCTCCTCCTCCTCCTCCTCCTCCCCCTCCTCCTCCTCCTTCCCTTCTGCTTCCTCCTCCTCCTCCTCATCATCAGCATCATCAGCATCAGCATCAACATCAACATCAACAGCATCATCATCATCATCATCATCATCAGCATCATCATCATCATCATCATCATCATCATCATCAGCATCATCATCATCATCATCATCATCATCATCATCATCATCATCATCATCATCATCATCATCATCATCATCATCATCATCATCATCATCGTCAGCATCATCATCATCATCATCAGCATCATCATCATCACCACCAGCATCATCATCAGCAGCAGAATCATCATCATGATCATCATCATCATCATCATCATCATCATCATCATCATCATCATCATCATCAGCATCAGCATCAGCATCATCAGCAGCAGCAGCATCAGCATCATAATCCTCATCATCATCATGATCAGCATCATCATCATCAGCAGCATCATCATCATCATCATCATCATCATCATCATCATCATCATCATCATCATCATCCGCCTCCTTCCCACCCCACACGGGATTGGCGCTCGTAGACGGCAGGAGACCTCCCCACCAAATGCCCTTCCTCTTCGTCCTCTTTATAACCTCCTCCTCCTCCTCCTACTCCTTCTCCGATTCGCACCACGTGACGGATCCAAGTCGCCGATCCCCGCCTCGCGTCCCGCAGAGCCCTTTGTTACCCCCCGCTTCCCTCCTAGGCCCCTCGCGTTCCCAGCCCTCCAAACCCACGCCCGTCCTCTCTCGAAGCGACCTCTGCCCGTGACGGTAGCCCCTGCACTTCGCATTCTACGTTCTCTTGGCGGGTGCACCCAAATAGAGGCCTCCTGGATGCGGTCCGAGTAGATGGGGTCCGAGTAGATAGATGGGGGCGGAGGATCTCGCCACATCGCCGATGCGTCGGCGATGCACTGGCGACGTCTGCGATGCGTCGGCGACGTCGGCGTGCAGAAGAGTGGGCCCCACATCGAGCCGCATCGGCGATGCATCGCCGATGCATCGGCGGTGCGGCACGATCTTCCGACCCCATTCGGCGGTGGACAAACCTCCCTTTAGTAAACCACTGGAGGGCCCAGGATGGGCCTGGCCGGGGCTGGTGGTGGTGTACTGCTGGCGTCCCTCCGAACGTAACAGGTCACCCTGACACGCAGTAAACGCACACAGAGAAGGCATCGGGCAGGGCAGGGCTGGCTAGTAAACGCCCAGGGTCGCTCAGTAAACGCCAATGATCGGGTCCGGGGGGGGGGGCCTCCCTTGCTTCTCCGAGGAGAGGGCAGTGGCCTCTCCTCTTGCCGTCGCTCGGACGTCCATTTCCCCTGCATGTTTCAGTTTCGTGCGTGTTTTTTTTGCTCGATGGTCCAGGATGGTCCTTGGTGGTTCTCGCCGAGGAAAAACTGCACACGTCCGAACGATGCCAAGTCCTCGGAGGGCAGTGGCCTCTCCTCGGAGGCCCTCGGAGGCCTGTCAACCTCCAGGCCGCACCACCCGTCTCGACGCCGAGAGGCCCCCCCCGCCCTCCGGGAAGGCCGCCCCCCTCGTGCCCCTCGTGCGCCGGTCCTCCCTCCCAGCTGCGTCCACTCCGCAGACCCCGACCCCCTGGCGCTGTGACAAAACAAAAAAACACTCTCGAAGAGCACCAGGCCCACCACGCGTGCTACATGCGAAAACGAGGCATGCAGAGAGACATTCACATCACGCCTTCCTCCTCCTCCTCCTCCTCCTCCTCCTCCTCCTCCTCCTCCTCCTCAGAAGGTTTGAAGGAGAGCTGCTTCATGCATGCTCAAACACGATTGAGGCAGGCGGAAACAACAGCAACAGCAACAGCAACAGCAACAGCAACAGCAACAGCAACAGCAACAGCAACAGCAGCAACAACAGCAACAACAACAACAACAACAACCACAACAACAACACCAACACCAACAACAACAACAACAACAACAACAAGAACAAGAACAACAGCAACAACATCAACAACAACAACAACAACAACAACAACGACAACGACAACAACAACAACGACGGCAACAACAACAACAACAACGACGGCATTAACAACAACAACGGCAACAACAACAACAACAACAACAACAACAACAACAATTACTAGCACGTGGGGACACTCCGTTCTCACCAGTGCCAGGGTTTTCATAGGAGGCGGGCAATACCCCCACGTTGTGGGGGGGCCGGTTCAAGCTCTGACAAATTTCCAAACGACTCTTCGCCACCACCCACACCCAGCTTCCCGCCCTATGACGTTCGGACACTTCACTTCGTGGCATGCGGACGACCGTGGCTACTATTCAGGGCCCCGCGGCCGACGACGACGGCGTGCGCGCGCGAAGAAAAAACGAATGTGTCCCGCATGGTATTATTTGACAGGGATGATGGCCCTGGCAGGTGCGCAACCGTTGTTGCAGAAGTTCGAAAAAGTTGCTCGGAAAAGCCCATTTGACAGAAATGTTTAAAAAGTGTTGGGTTTCCTACAAATCCGCAAGAGCGCGCGGGATGAAATTTTGACACTTTTGTTTTGAAAAACCATTGGTTTTTTGATGTTTTTATGTTGAAATCGCTACGAAAACTAAGGTTTTGGAAGGATTTCGTCTTGCGCGCGCGAATGTCCACTTTACCTTATTTTTTGCAAGGGATTCTTGAAGTTTGGTTATGTTAGAACAAGAAATGTCCTCTTTAGCTTTTTTTTTTGCAAGGGAAAACGGGGGACAACAAAACAACCGGATCCGGACACCCACGTTTTGCCTGAGACTTCCTCGCGAAAATGATGAAAATGTGGCTGCGGCCTAGGCGCGGCGGGGGGGCCGCGCACCAGGGGTCCCAACAATAATTATTCTTTAGAAGTAATAATGTTCAACAACAACAACAACAACAACAACAACAACAACAACAACAACAACAACAACAATTACTAGCACGTGGGGACACTCCGTTCTCACCAGTGCCAGGGTTTTCATAGGAGGCGGGCAATACCCGCACTTTGTGGGGGGGCCGGTTCAAGCTCTACCAAATTTCCAAACGACTCTTCGCCACCACCCACACCCAGCTTCCCGCCCTATGACGTTCGGACACTTCACTTCGTGGCATGCGGACGACCTTGGCTACTATTCAGGGCCCCGCGGCCGACGACGACGGCGTGCGCGCGCGAAGAAAAAACGAATGTGTCCCGCATGGTATTATTTTACAGGGATGATGGCCCTGGCAGGTGCGCAACCGTTGTCGCAGAAGTTCGAAAAAGTTGCTCGCAAAAGCCCGTTTGACAGAAATGTTTAAAAAAGTGTTGGGTTTCCTACGAATCCGCAAGAGCGCGCGGGATGAGATTTTGACATTTTTTTGTTGAAAAACCATTGGTTTTTTTGATGTTTTTATGTTAAAATCGCTCCGAACACTAAGCTTTTGGAAGGATTTCGTCTTGCGCGCGCGAATGTCCACTTTACCTTAATTTTTGCAAGGGATTCTTGAAATTTGATTATATTAGAACAAGAAATGTCATTTTATAGTGTTTTTTGCAAGGGAAAACGGATTACAACAAAACAACCGGATCTGGATCACATCGTTTTACCTGAGGCTTCCTCACGAAAATGATGAAAACGTGGCTGCGGCCTAGGCGCGGAGGGGGGGGCGTGCACCAGGGGGCCCAACAATAATTATTCTTTAGAAGTAATAATATTCAACAACAACAACAACAACAACAACAACAACAACAACAACAACAACAACAACAACAACACGGCGGGCGGTGTTTCGCTATTGTTCGGCCTCCCGCGGCCCTCTGTGGGCCTCGGGACCGTCAAAAAACGAGTCGGGATGAGAAACTGCTGCCGGGGAAGGGGTCCAGATCTCTAGGGGTCGACGTTGTGAAAAAATCGAAAAGACGTCGAGGGTCTGGGAAAACTGCACCCGAATTCCGGAGGCTGCCCGCTGTCCATCATCGCGATGACACCACCGTGCTCTTCGCTCTTCTTCGCGTAGGCACCTGGAAGGGCGTAGGGGCTTGGATAGGCACGCCATCGCTGACGAGGGCTATCAGAGGGGTCATCCCACGGGAAGGCCCGTCAAAGTCACAGAAAGCAGCGCCGTCTGGAAAAAACTGCTGGACACCCACAGGAGGGCGTCAGACACAACTTTCATGGAGCCAAGAGTCGGATGGAGGCAATGGCGCCTGGTCGACGTGACCGTCCACCCACGACTGCGACGCTGCTGCCGAGAGGCTGACCCAGGAGCGTGAGCTTCCCCGTGCCCCCCTCCCACCCGAGCAAACGCCAAGGACAAAGAGGTTCAGATCTCGGGGTGAAGGCGAGGGGGAGGGCACACGGGCAGAGAGAGGAAAGAAGGGGGGACGTGGGGGAGGAGAGGCAGATCGAAGAAGAGCAGGGACGATGAGAGAAAAAGGTTGAGCACGAAAGACATCGCGACGCAGCTCTCCTGGTCGTCTCCGTGGCTTCATACTTTGCTCGAGGCTCCGGGAGACTCAACGGAGCAATGAGAGACGCGCAGTCCACAAACAGCCACACGCAGGCCGCATGCGTGCTGCGCTGACTTGGGATCTCGCACAGAAGACGTCGTCATTTCATAGGTACCCTCCTCCTTGCAATAAGCAACATCACCATTGTCAACGTCGTCTCCCCGTCCCCCTCCCCATCCTTCTGGTTCTCCTGAGCCTCATAATCCACCTCACCCCATCCCTCCCTCTCTTGCCGCACAGCTCTGGGGAACCCACGCATGGGCAGTCGCAAGACAGCTCGACACGAAACAGCCAGCCGGCATCGCTCGCACGCAGCCCGCCGCGTAGTCCCAAACACGCTTGAATTCTCGTGGCAGGGACAACGCCTCTCCGTTCGGGCACACGCTAACACGAATTAAAGATCCGCGGACCTGGCGCGTCGGCATCCCCGAAGCATCAGGCCAATGCCGCCTGATGTGGTGAAGGAGCGCACCGATGCTGTATGGAATCGGGACCCGTCGCCAATTCTACACGGCTCGATCCGTGTCTGCGCTTCCGCGAACCATCCCCCTGGCCCTCCTGCTCCTAGGTTCAGGTCGTCGGGCATGTTCCTCTACGGGCGGATTTCTGGACGAATACTTCAGACTCCCCAAAAAGTACTCAAAGCTATTCGGAAAATAGCAGCAAAATCGTCCCCAGACTATTTGTTCTGACAACTTTTGAACATCCCTCCCTTATGAAGAAAATCCTGGAGGCCTCGCGCGGCAACTTGAGACCCGATTTGCGTCGGATCGACGTCGGAATTACGTCGGGTTCACGTCGGACTACGACGGATGTACGTCGGATGTACGTCGGACTGACTCCTGCGCATCGCCGCGCGAGCGTGGACCCAGAGCTTACGGAACTGACACGAGGACTGGATCACACTACTATTACCGCGCCGCGCGAGGCCTCCAGGATTTTCCTCACAACCTCCCGTGGAGGGACACGCCCGACTCAAAAACTCGGGCCGGGCGGCCGGCTAAAGGGGGGGATAGCAAAGGGGGGGTTGAGAAATCAGCTCGCGTAAGCTGATTTCCCCGGCCCATTCCCGGCGCCGGAGGTCGGCTATGTGGCGAGGAATGGGCCCCTCGGTGTGGCCGGAAACCGACTTGCATGCAGCAAATCTTCGTAACCCCCCCTTTCCCAATCCCCCCCTTTCGCCCGACCCGATATTACGCGCCGCGCGAGGCCTCCAGGATTTTCCTCACAACCTCCCGTGGAGGGACACGCCCGACTCAAAAAACCTCAGGCGTGCGCGGCTTCCGGGGGCCGCGGCCGGGGGCAGGCGGCCAGGTCCGAGCGCGCAGGCCCGTGCCCGGGGGGGGGGCCCCCCCGGGAGTGCGGGAGTGCTCTGACGCGCAGGAGGAGGAGGAGGAGGAGGAGGAGGGAGGAGCAGGAGGAGGGAGGAGCAGGAGGAGGAGGAGGAGGAGGAGGAGGAGGAGGAGGAGGAGGGAGGAGGAGGAGGAGGAGGGAGGAGGAGGAGGAGGAGGAGGAGGAGGAGGAGGAGGAGGAGGTAGGAGGAGGGAGGGAGGGAATAGGAGGAGGAGGAGGAGGAGGAGGAGGAGGAGGAGGAGGAGGAGGAGAAGGAGTGCGCAGAGGTCGTGCTGGCGAGGGGTGCTCTGACAAGTGGCCGACCAAGTTTGGGCGACCCAAAAGTTCTGTTGCTCCCATCGTACTCAAAGAACACATCCCAGAAATAATCTCGAGCACCCGGAAAAGCGTCGAAAGAGTGTCGAAACAGTGTCGAAAGAGTGTCGGACGAGTGTCTCCCAGGGCCCGACACGTAAGAACCCTCGAGTTTCGGTGGTGCTCGAAATCTTTTCAGGCGATCAAGGCTAAAGTAAGTTGAAACAGCATAACCCAAAAGGCCATTGCACTGGCCCTGCAGACGTGCTGCGGCGGATTTCTGCGAACATTTCTGCGTGGATGTTTGCCCGAAACGGCGAGCAAAAAACGAAGCGAATTTCACGTGGGTTTTTGTTTAGTCTACATTCATGGCCAAAACAAATCCGCACAAACTTCACCTCGAAATCCGGAACAAAATTCTCCAGGACACTCCACGCCCATCTTGTCGTTTTCCATTCGAAATCCGCTCTGCGATGTGGGCGCCATGAAAAAGGGGGTCCAGCTGAAAGGGGGCGGTGCAACAGATTTCGGGCAAGTGGATTCCAAATGCATGGCGCAGGAGAATGGTACTGCATCGTATTGCAAGGGATGCACCACACGCGTACATCCAGCAGTAGACGTGCGCCCCGGAATGTACTGCACGCCCCAAATTAGGGAACCGCGCTCTATAAACCGACGTTTTTGTGCGGCCCTGCACGGACCTTTGCGCAAGAAAGCGGAGCCTGGTGTATGCGGGACCCTGGTGTATACATGTTCCCATATTTCCTGGGAAAACGGGGAAACAAGTATACATTGCACCACCCCGACGTCGCCCCCGACTCTCAAAAAGTCCTGGGATTGGAAGACGGCCCGCCACTGGTAATGTATAGGCTCCAGTTTCCGACAAAGGTATTGCGACCCCACAAATCTGTTGCACCAAATCGAGGACGCCGGCGGCGCATCACCGGCCGCTCCCTGGGAGTTTGTCGAAGTGGTGCGCAGCATCGAAAGTCGTGACGCGGCGCGTATGCCAGCTATCAAATAGCCGTCGGCCCATCTCGCCAACGTGCTTGGGTTTGGGGTCGGAGTCCTCATGGACGCTCCCTGGGGTCTCTCGAGAGGGCTCTCGGGGGCCTCTGCGGGGGAGTTTAGGGGCCTCTTGAGGGCCATCCCCATCCTGGGGGCTTTTTGGGAGCCTCTTGGGGCTCTCTGATCTGTAGCACCAGATCTCAGGCACCACGCCCCTGTCGCTGGACCCCCTCTTGGGCCGACCCGACCCAAGGCAGGTGGCGGGCCAGCGCGCCGGCACTCTCCTCCTCCTCCTCCTCCTCCTCCTCCTCCTCCTCCTCCTCCTCCTCCTCCTCCTCCTCCTCCCTCCTTCTCCTCCTCCTCCTCCTCAATCTCCTCCTCCTCCTCCTCCTCCTCCTCCCCCTCCTCCTCCTCCTCCTCCTACGTAACAACAATCCTCCCCTCCGCCTCCTCCTCCGCCTCCTCCTCCTCCTCCTCCTTCCTCCTCCTCCTCCCTCCTCCTCCTCTCCGACGTAACTTATCCCACGGCAAGAACCTACAGCGATGTGGTAGGAGCAAATCTGGAAGCAATCCCCCTTAACTATTCAGATGAGAATCCACTTTGTCGGAATTCTCCTGTTGTTGTTTGTTTTTCTCGCAGTCGTAGTCGCATTCGCGATGACAGTCCGCGTGGCAACGGCAGTCACCAGTCACAGCCTCAGCCTCACCGCCCAATCACAAAAAACCATCAACCAGCATCAGCCTGCCTCAGCCTCCGCCTCAGCCTGCCTCAGCCTCAGCCTCAGCCTGCTTCAGCCTCAGCCTCAGTCTGCCTTCAGCATCGGCCTCAGCCTCAGCCTGCCGCAGCCTCACCCTGCATAAGCCTCAGCCTCAGCCTCAGCCTGCCTCAGCCTCAGCCTGCCTCAGCCTCAGCCTCAGCCTGCCTCAGCCTCAGCCTCAGCCTGCTTCAGCCTCAGCCTCATTCTGCCTTCAGCCTCGGCCTCAGCCTCAGCCTGCCTCAGCCTCAGCCTGCCTCAGCCTCAGCATCAGCCTGCCTCAGCATTCAAAATGTGGCCCAGGAATGGAGTTCTGGAACTCGAAGAACACGAAGTGGCCTACAGTTGGCTCCGGGCATTCAAAATCATGCCCAGGAATGGAGTTCTGGGAACTCGAAGACCACGAAGTGGCCTACAGTTGGCTCCGGGCATCCAAAATGTGGCCCTGGAATGGAGTTCTGGGAACTCGAAGACCACGAAGTGGCCTACAGTTGGCTCCGGGCATTCAAAATGTGGCCCGGGAATGGAGTTCTGGGAACTCGAAGAGCACGAAGTGGCCTACATTTGGCTCCGGGCATTCAAAATGTGGCCCGGGAATGGAGTTCTGGGAACTCGAAGACCACGAAGTGGCCTATAGTTGGCTCCGGGCATTCAAAATGTGGCCCGGGAATGGAGTTCTGGGGACTCGAAGACCACGAAGTGGCCTACAGTTGGCTCCGGGCATTCAAAATGTGGCCCCGGAATGGAGTTCTGGGAAGTCGAAGAGCACGAAGTGGCCTACAGTTGGCTCCGGGCATTCAGAATGTGGCCCGGGAGTGGAGTTCTGGAGGTCGAAGAGCACGAAGTGTGTGACTGTTGGCTTAAAACGACTTCTGCGGCACCCTGTCCGGCACCCGCCCAGACCCCCCTGTGGAGTCATCTGCTGCTCTCTTTTGAGACCACTAGAAACCTATCAGAACAAGCTGTTAGGTAAAAAACATCCTCTTCCTCCTCCTCCTCCTCCTCCTCCTCCTCCTCCTCATCCTCTTCCTCCTCCTCCTCCTCCTCCTCCTCCTCCTCCTCGAACTTCGAACCTCAAGAGCCTTGCCTCGGGTCATCGCG